CGAAAGGGAAAAATGTGAAAGTATTAGCCGTCTTTGACCATAGGTGTTTGTGTTCTATCTCCCGCGCTAGCTGGCCTAAAATAATAAGTAATACTGAGGTCGGGAGTAGAGTGCTAGCTAAAGAAGGGAAGGCAATCGATGAGGTTGTCAGAAAAGAGTTAGGCATTTGTTAAACCGAAATCTGGAATCGATCCCGTAAAGTCTTTGACAGTTGGAGCTGTAGACTGCCTGTTTTGGGACTTTAGGATACTAAGAACTAGTGTCTGGAGACTTGGTGACATGGCTCAAAACCGTTGTGAATCGTGTATCTGCGTTCGGTACTTTTAACCTTCTGTATCTATTCTTCCTAATGCAATTTCTGCACAGTAGAGTTCTTTAGAACCTCCTATTTTCTTGGACTTGAACTGCTGCACCTCTGTGTAAAGTGTTATGTTGAAACTTACTCAGTTAGTGTGAGTGAACTGCCTTAAATGAAAGATGTGGTCAGCTGTAAGCTGATTCACTTTCATTTGTACCAAAAACAGGGAGAGACAGATGTTTGTTCACATTTAAGCCTATCATTATGATTCATTTTGATGTCTGTAATTATTGGATTGAATTTATTTGTAAGACAAGTTGATCAGTAATATTTTTGAACGTTATTCATTCTAATTTACATTTCAGCTTGTGTACCTCAGTGAATACACTACAACTACTGAGGGTTTTTCTAACTGGATTTCAGATTATCTTGATTCCACTGCTAGTCACCATCCACCAATTAAATTCTAATTGAATGCCCAGACATCATTGAAGCATCCGCACAAAAAGCCGACATGTCAACCTGAGACCGAGCATTTCGGTCTAATCAATCGACGGGAAAATCTAAAATTCAATTAAATAATTAATATGACTCGTTGCACAAGAGGTGACTCACAAGGCCCAAGTAGTTAAGGTGGTAGCGCTTTGGCGTTTGAAACTATGGGCACTGGGATCGAGCGTCGTTGGGAACATCATCACTCACTGGGGAATGCGGGTACATCCAGATGGCGAGTCTGAAAAAGGACGAAATGCGAGTTATCCTGGATTTCACCGCTAGTTACCATCCACCAATTAAAGACCGAGAGCTTGTTTATAGGGATCTGATTTCGTTACAGTCACTGAAAATCAGCAAGAAGTACCAGACGGCTGTTTCGTCAGCCTAATTTCTGACTTATCGCCATTACACAACCACTGCCAGGGTTTAAACCTAGGACCTTCAGGTTAAAAGGCAAGCTCGTAGATTGCTCATATTGCTGGAGATTCCTAAACGTTGATGAAGCAGATGCCCAGTACTCACTGCTGGTTTTCAATACTTCTCTAACTGATGTCAATCCGTGATGAAGCTTCAAACGTTACAGTTATTTTAAACAGCTACCTGATAACCTGAAGTCACAATGTTTTCATAGTAAAACTAAGGGTTACCACGTTATGATACCTATGAATGCCTATCTATTTATCGATTGTAAAATATTATCAGTTTACTGAATGACTAAACACTGACATTAACTGCGTTACTTATCCTGAGGAAGGAATTAGTACTTGTAAAACGTATTCCCACTGAATTTCAACACAGAATTTCGAGCAAAACGGGTAGTAGTTCAAGTTTCAGACTTCAGAAAAGTACACACAGAAAATATCAGATTCACATAGGCTAGCGTACGTCATAATCCGAGTTCAACAACGTAACTGCGGGATCACTTACATAGGAAGACCAGAAAAAAGGGCACACCTCCGATTTTCTGAACATGCATCAAAAAGCCTATGTTTAGGGGGAACAAATGCTTTAAACAGTGCCATCGCTAGGCATCTCCTTGACACGGGTCATGAGGTGGACATCGTAAGATCGTTCAAAATTGTCAGTAGGCAAAAGAGTTCAATCCTCCTCAAATTTGCCGAAGCGATCTCTGTCAAGCACCTGAAACCTCATTAATGCGTTCAGAAAGAAGCAGTTATCAGTCTTTCTTTGCCCTGCCTGGTAACTGGATATTTTCACCCTCTCTTTCATCTGATTACGTAATGTCGGAAGTTTCCATTGTGTATGATCATTATTGTTCGGAATAGTGTTTAATATTATTATATGCATATATTATTACTGTATGCATATACTGATTGATTGATTTTTGTTTAAAAGTGAACTGTTTCTGCAAGTATGCTAAAGTTGTTTCTGTAGATATCCTTAATAATGACTTTGGCCTGTAAGCAGTTGAGCTGATGAGAAGCTAACGAAATAAACAATGAGGGTACCATTTCATTCTGCATAGATCACTGTTGTTCTTGCTTTATTCAAAAACATAGAAATGTCTGGAAAACGAGAATATCATACTCTCTCTCACTCTAATTTAAAGGTTTTCCTTAATGTGTCCTATGCTTCAGTAACCAGTAAAATCTTAATTATCCTAAGAGATTTGGAAACAGAATCTCTATTTATGTTTTCTTATGCAAAGGCCTACAAAATGATAAACAAAGTTTGTTGATTATGCTTCTACTAAAGCAAAGATCTATTAGACAGTTCACGACTAATTGCAGCTGGGTTAGATGACTTTGTCTGTCAGTCTGTAGAAAAACGTTGAAAAAAGATGTCCCGCAGTGACAAGCTTATGACGTAACTTATTTTTATCAAGTCAGTAGAAAAGAATTTGTGGAAACACTTTCTTTACATTTAGTAATTTAAATTCAGACAAAAACAATGTTTTCTTGTGAAATAATACGAACAACTACCCAGTCAGAGTTATTTATTCACATTTATAAATTATGGTTGATATGTCTGAAATGAATTAATCCGAATCATTTCGATAAATAAAAGAGGATTTCACAGATGGATATCTCGATATTTGCAGGGTTAGTAACTTGAAGTTATTTGCGATTTCATTTCAGATATGTCAAATGAAAATATATGGAGCATGGAGAGATAGTTTCTAGTGATACCTATGGTACAAGAGGTAGCTCTTGTAGCCAAGTTGTCAAGTGGATAACGCTTTTTTTGTTTGAGTCTAAGTGGGAATACGATTCCTTACTGGTGCCGTGCAGGTACATGCAGCTAAAGAGTCTTAAAAACAGGAGAAAATGGAAGTTTTCGGATTCCACTACCACTTCTCACCAAAGAATTAACTTCCACTCATTCGGGAAGTTGGACGAAAAATGATAGATTTCATAGCTGCAAGACGATTATAAATCTTCGGTGGGGAAGTGAAAAGATGTGGGATTTTCCAAGAATTAGAAAAGATGTCACATTATACTATGCAAAAACATTATCATTATTATATTATTATTCCCATGGTTTCTCAGTGGAACGTAGGACTTCAGCAGCAATCGGGTATTTCACTTTCTTCCTTGTAGTCCTTTTCTGGTGGCTCCATGATTGCCCGTAATCTTTCATTACCTTTTCTACACATAATCTCCATGTCACCCTCGGTCTCAAGCCCAACTTGTCACATCTCATTCAGGTGCCACTTGAGGTCCTGACTAGCCTGTGATATCAGTCAGCAGTCTCCTCAGCGTATGTCTGATCGACCTTCATGAGCTCCTGGCCTTTTCTTGTAGGAACTGAGTTTTCGCTTGACTTACTGCAATATTTTCTTGGTGCTAATCCTTTCTGGACATCTGAGCCAGTGAAAGCAGCTGTCTGTGACAGTTTGAAGCTTGTTGGAAATGCTTTTGGTGACTTAGCAAGTCTCTGAACCATCGACGAACCATAGACAGAGCTGTACACTGACTGCACTCTGTTGAATGTCCATCTTGCAATTTTGACCCTGGTTTTGACATCCTGGGCTATGTAAATTGAGTAAAACAGTGTTTAGCTGCCAGTAATAAAAGATGTTGACGGTAATGTGTCTTCATTAGGAAAAGTTGAGAGAAGTATGTCCTTATAGTGATGCCATGAATATTTTTGGGCAAACTAAATATAGAATATTTTTAATATTTTTCCTGTGATTTGAAGCAGTGGACTGGATTATTTGTCAGACATGACCAATTAGAAGACTCTAAACGACCTGAATTTCGCGGACAATTTATCTCTAACGTTACACAAACTTGAAGACTTACAGGCGAATATTAACCCGTTGGCAAAACAGCAAGGAAGCGAAGATGGAGATCCAAGTGAATGTAGAGAGGACGGAGGTGATGAAGATACTCAGCGACCAAGAAGAACAAAAACCAATCACCATCAACGGGAGAAACTTGAAGAAAGTCATTTCCTTCAATTATCTAGGCAGCATTTTTTCAACTGCTGGCGACAGAATGGTTGAGGATGTCAAAGCCAGAATCGGAAAGGCAAGGCAGACCTTCACCACCCTCCAGTCAGCTCAGAAATCTTCTACACTCAGCATAAAGAACAAGATTCGGACCTTCAACACAAATTTTAAGTCAGTCAGCTCTTCTAGATGGGCTAGAAACTTGCACAGCGCGTGCGTCACGAGAAGCATTTCCAACACGCTACCTCAGACTTTCATCAACAGCTGTCTTCACTGAGGCCTTATGGGAGACTGAATAGGCAGCCCGGAGGATTTAGCAACAAAAACCCCTGGGAGAACACCAGCAAGGAATCTATCACTCAAAAATACTCAAGGGAAAGTAACAATGGATTGGGCATACGCTGAGTGGACCGTCGAATGACATCGTGCCCAATGCAGGTCATCACTCTAATAGGAAACGACGAGTGGTTCATGTATCCGGGGATGACATGGTGGAGACCGTCCGATGAGGACATCAGAGAATACGGGCAATCGTGTTGGGCCAGCTGAAGAGGACCACAGACAATGAGACAAAGCGGAGATGTGCTGTTGAAGCTATGTTCTCCAGTTGGAACCCAAGGGAACGATGATCATATTAATATAATACATGTAGAACAGTGAGTGAGAACGGCAATGTAATAACGAACTCGTTCTAAAGAGACTCTAAGAGTTCCCTGACACTAGTGTATCAGCAATACCATAAATATATATTTATTAGAAATAATAATAATTAGAATACAAGATAATTTTAACTTACTTTTCTTGAATTGATTTTGTCCAATTATCAACAGGTACATTCAAACCAGAAGAAAGTTTAACTACAGGTAAATTAGGCATTTCTATTGCATGCACAAAAATAACTTGATCACCAGGTCGATAAACTTCTTTAATATACCACTCTACTGCTCGACGTGAATGGTCACTACCATCTACAGGAAGGCAAATCATTCTCTTTGGTTTGCTCATAATCTTCTGTTGATTTTTTTGTTTGTTTATTCGTCAAATTGAATGTTATTTACAAAGTATAGTAAATAATTATTTATTAATTTGAAACAATATTCGTCAAAACTGTTTCAGTAATCTAGCGAAATCAGTAAGCTGTCAGAATATTTTGGAAGTTATTTGATCAACTGTACTAATTAATTAATTTATAGTTGGATTTTACTGGCTTATAATTCTCTTCAATTTGATTGGTTGTTTTAACTATTTGCAATTCTATTGGATCAATGAAGGAAGGTCACATGACGCGCTAATTTGGAAAATGCACACATGCTAACTAACTGCTTAAAGCTGTAAAATCAGACTATTGCTTACTTGCATTGCCATATTATCTGTCAAGCTTGTGTTTTTATAAAGTGCCAAGAAAAACGATTTGCAAAACAAACCATCTTAATCATCTATTGCGCTAAATATTTTCCTTTCTAACATAGAGTAATCTTGATATTTTTTTCTGGCTATTACGGAGGAAACCACATGACTGGAGAAAATATCACTTCTGATTAAATGAAACGTGAATACTTATGTTAACCTGTTATTTTACTTTCTTTTTTTTGGTGTCAAAAATGAAATGGCGAGTGCTAATGATAGGATTTGTTAGTAGTAAATAAAGAGACGTTCATCGGCAGAAAAACACCAAATAGCAAGGAGATACATCTGATGTCAGAGAAGGCAAATAATACAGCGTTGTGGAGATACATGAGAGACGTGAAAATAAAACTCAATTTGAAGGCCAGAAGTAGCACAACGCGAAGATCTGTGCAAATGGTGCGATGAAGAAAAGGTGTACATAATTTTGCTATATAGAGATACCAATACACAAATAAACACTCCTCTACCAAGTCTTTCGTTTTCTATTATTTCAATATGTGTAAAATTGTTGAAAACATAATTTAATAAGGCGAAGATGATATGCTTCAGTGACAAACCTGAATAGAATCTATGGATCATAGGAAAATATCTAGGGGAAAATAGAAATCTCCTAAGACTTACCGAGAGATTTGAATAAGCTGAAAGCAAAAGATTAGAAACTTCCATAGTTGGTTTAACTCATGTATCCAGCCACGAAATGGAAGAAGAAGCAACAGCGAAGGTAGAACTTCAAATGTACACAGAGAAAACAGAAGTGGTGAAAATAATCAACCAACAACAGCAAACACCAATTGCTATTAGACGAATACACTTGAAAGCTGTTACTCCTTTCACTAATCTATCCTAAACAGAATCGTTTCAACTACAGGCATTTGGCATGAATGAGGATATCAAAGCCAGAATCAGAAAAGTAAGGCAAACCCTCATCACTCTCAAATCAGTTTGGAAGTCTACTGAACTCAGTGTAAAGAATAATATTCGGATATCCAACACAGATTTTGAGTCAGTCAATTCTTCTATATGGGTCAGAGACTTGCATAGCATCACATAAAGTATTCCTGGCGGGTTACAGGCTTTTATCAACGGCTGTCTTTGCTCGCCCCAAATTGGAGATCAAATGGTCGGCAAGAAAGAATCAGCGATAACAAACTCTGAGAACGAATCAGCCAAGAACCTATCTCTTCAACATATATTCAGGAGAAAATAAAGATAGATCAGGAACACGCTGAAGAGATCGTGGCTTGACATCGCGCAAGTGGAACCTGAATGGGGAACGACAAGTGAGGCATGTGTCCAAGGGTGACATGGAGAAGGTGATGCAAGGAGGAGATGACATATTGAGGCAAATCGTGTGGGCAGCTGAAGAGGATCCTATTTTCCACTCGGAACCCATGATAACAATAACAATGATAATAATTCATCCACTTTAATCATTGCTAGCAGACGATTATTCAAAAGAATGCGTAGTAAGCCTGTTTCTACTTTGATAAGCTGGCTGTTGACATTTGATAGGTTGTACCACCTTTCGTCAAATAAAAATCTTCATTTCCTTTTGTCGTTTGTCTGATACATAACCAAATAAACCTAACTGACAACATTTTCCACATCTTGTATTTGTTTGTCAGTAGTCTTTTTTGAATGACTTACGCAATCTTTTAAGTGGTACCACTCATTAACTCGTTGCTGCTATATGCATATAGTTTCGCCTAAAACCTTAAAATAAACAATTTAAGGAGTTATCGCACACTGGCGTGAGCCCTTTGTTTTTCCCTCTGTTTGGTTTGCTGGATCCCTATTGGCTGTTAATACTTTTATGCATCACTGAATTACTGCACTTCCAAGGTCATTCTGACTGTATATATACAGTGTTTCTGTCTAGCATTTCGACTGTTTTTGAAACAGTAAAAGCTCTCTTATCGACGTCCAATCTTTTCTCTTATCTTTGCGTGCCGGTGATGCTGTTGTTGTCGGTGACGTGCGGTTAAATGCAGATTGGCCAGTGCCTAGTCTACTAGGTCATATTTCCGGTCATAACAATGGCCATCGTTGCCCTCCCTTCATAGAGAAAATTTAGTTACTTTCATACATATAATTGCAACAACGCATTACGTTTTATTAGCTTAACATTTCGACTTATCCATTATTATTATTTTTCTCTTTGCTTCCGAGTGGAAGGCAGAACTTCAGCAGCACATCTCCATTTCACCATGTTCTCTGTAGTTTTTTTTAACCAGCTCCACGACTGTCCATAAGCTTTCACTCCATCCTCACGCTATGATCACCGGCTTGTCACTTTTCACCGTGGTTCTACATGACAGCCTGTGTGGTATGTGATATCAATCCATGGTTTCCTCAACCTGTGTCCAACCCATCTCTTTCTGCATTTATGTCTTTGGAAGGTTCCCTGCTATAGTTTCTGACACCTTATCCTTGGCCACTGATCATCTGCTATCCAGTGCGGAGTTAAGGTTCGTGTTAAGGAAAATCTATGTATGAAAACGTAGAAAAAGCTGACGATTCTAAAAAAACGTTATTACCTGTGGCTATGACAGACATTTAACAAAGAGTCAAGCATACACACACTATTTCAAGCAGAACTTCTTGAACACTCTCATAAAGATTAATTAAATTGTAATTATTTGCAAATCTAGAGTATGAGTAAAGCTGTCAGTGAATAGAAACACTCGAAAACTAGGTCCGAAACATTAAATACGGCTGCTTAAAATCTAAAATAAACAGCGGTAGAAGCTGTTTGAAGACTTCGAAGTCAAACTGATAGAAGCGATTACTGATAAATTATCTTTGAAGTCATCTAGTCATCCTCATACCGAGAATAGTGATTATACTATTCAATCAAGACAAGGCTGCCTGCCATCTCCATTAATTTTCGGGATTACAACAGACTGGATAATGCAACAGACAGCGGGTTAGGCAACGAGGAGACAGACATAAAATGGACCAACGCAAAAAACTTGAAGGATCTGGATTTCACTGAAGATATATGTCTGGAAGATATGCAAGTGAAAAGCAGCAAGTTGGCGACAGAAGAAGCATCAGAGATTGGACTTACTTCAGGTGGACATAGAGAAAACAGAGGGGATGAAGACTCTTGGCCAACAGCCACAACAGTAGACAACAACCAGTATAAACGGGAGGAATCTGAAAGAAGCTGCCTCCTTTACCACCTACCTGGGAAGCATCGTCTCAACTACAGGTGAACGAAACTGATGAAGATATTATAGCGAGGATCAAGAAAGCGAGGCAAGCTTTCATTACACTGAAGTCTGTTTGGAGATGGACATCACTCAGAATGAAAAATAAGGTCTGGATTTTCGACTCCAATGTGAAGTCACTGCTACTGTACGGATAGATCAGAAACTCGTCGCGTCACTTCGAACAAACTACAGACCTTCATCAAAAGCCGTCTTCGCTCAATACTACTCAAGATCAGATGACCAAAAAAGATCAGCAACACGGATCTCTGATGGCGAACAAACCAGGGACCAACTGTGCAACAATTATGCAGGAAGAAGCTGGGGTGAACTGGCCATGCTCTGAGAAAACAAACCATCAGGTGAGTGATATCACACGCCAGGCCATCGCTCGGGCGGACCCGGAATGGGAATCTGCGAGTTGGTCGTCAGTGAGAGGATGACAGGGTGGAGATCATGTGAAGAAGAGATGAAAGCCTGTTGGAATACATGGAGCCAGGTGGAAACATTGGGGGAGAAACGAACGCAATGGAGACGTGTGGCCTTAGCCCTGTGTTCTTCTAGAAATTAAAGGAGACAATAATAATTGTAAAAGTTCTTCAGTCACAGAGGCACACGGCAGTTCGTCAGTCTATGCATTATTTTCACAGTTTGGTTTCAATGATCACACGAAAATTGATGTTAAAACTCAGATCGAAAGTCAAGATTCCGATAATGAATCAAAATGTGATGAAGACACTGTTTGAGCAGTGCCCACAGATAAAGTCAATTCAAGCTCAGAGACTTTCACTCTGGAAACCGCTTACTGCCATGTTAGTAAAAAGTTTTTTGGAGATGTTTTGAGCTTAATTAGTGAAATCTCTTGTGATGATCAGTTCATTTCAAAGAATTTTAAAGATTTATAATCTGATATAAGGATAAAAATTGGGCACTGTGTTAGAGCATAACTCCATTATGGAAAAAATTTTATTTTGATTAAATCACAGTAATATTTACTGATGACCACGTTTCGAGCACAATTTATCATTGCCACTCATTATCATGTCAAAGTACTCTCATAACTTTCTTGTTTCATTTATATACATGAGTAAAAATTGTTGATAAGACATTTGAATAAAATCAGTAATATAAGATAAAGTACATTCGTAAATAATATTAGTGTTATCAACCAAATAAAATCAGATGGGAAAAAACTGTTTTTATAGTGAAATAAATAAATAACTTGTTAGAATGTTTTAAGGTGAATTGAAATACATTTTAACACTATTTATTCTTCTCTGATTTGACTGGTGGTAATAATATCTTCCATATCTCAGGTATTTGAGTTGAGTCATTTCTGTTGCATGTGTTGTGTTGGGTGTAGACTCGATGGACAAGGATGCAGTAATCAATCTCTCTCCCCACCTACCTATATTACTTTTTAGAATTTTTACTCCGTCCCACCCCATTGTGTGGTTGTGTTTTAGTGCATGCTGTGCTATTGCTAAGTCTTTTTTCTAAACTGCTTATCTTCGTGGGATCAATCATTCTAAC